CGCAATTCCAAGTACTTTGCAAAGTCTCACCAAGTCCTCGCCAGTATTTGTGTCAAAGCAGAGTAATATGCTCCAGGAGCATTTGTTCTGAACGACTGGTATTTCGGAAAGAAGATGCCATTGTAAAAATGCAGCTCAGAACAGTTCCACTTATTTATCAATGCTTTCATGCAAAACAAATATTCACTCAAAGACAGCATGCTTTGGGCTTCTGATTAGATCACAGAAGTATAAATATCACAGGGCTTTTATGTGTTTGCATGATGTGAACCAGCAAAGTTCTTTCCTGTGACCCTTATTTTTAATATAAGCCTGTGTAGAGAGGCATATGATTTCTGTGCACTGTTGTTTGCTCAATACATTGTTCTTTGGTTTGCATTATTTGAACGAGTAGCAGGTTTCCGGATCACATAAAAGTTTAAAAACCAAAATAACCCGCCAACCTTTCGAGATCCTGCTCTACATCACTGATGGTGAGGAATGCTTTTTCCCAGCGGAGCTGCAGGGAGGAGATTAGCGAGGAATTACTCGGACGGCATAAATGCAGCCCACTGGCTTCCCTGTCCAGGATTCAATCCACTTCACAGTCTAGCAGACTAGACTTGTCTCTCCCTTAATAATGGAAGTGTTCCACTCCTAGGCTGGGATCGAAGCATTTTAAAAAATATAACGGTTTGCATACTGTGCAGTGATTTGTAAAATGTGAATGCCTACAAAAGCCATGGTTACCCAGCATAACATTATCTTATTTTTAGTTACACAACCAGTAAAACAGCTGGAGGTTTAAAATCATGGCCTAGCACTAAATGCACTACTACATTTTATCCATGCAGTAAGGGCCTGTCCTTTGAGTGAGGCGGTAGGAGAAAGCGGAGTGATTACTGGCAAATTAACACTTCCAATTTTAATAGAGAAGTAAGGCCTACATAACAACATCGGAATTAGAATCTATGCCAGTTAGATATCATATAGCATATGATGGGCATTTAAACCACACTAATATACTACTGCATTTTATAATCACATGAACCCTCGCTCGTTAGTCAAGAGATAATATCTACCCCAGTTGACTAAAGAAGTAACCTGCAAAATATTTTACTTTATAGCTTCTTAACGTAGTTAATAGAATCATCTTGGCAATAATAGCAAAATATAATTGGCACTTAAAGAGCTGTGCTTGTTTTTATTTTCTCTGTAAAAGCCCGAAGTAGTCTGTAACATTCCATCCCCTTTATCTTTAAAACCAAACTTTTCAGCTTGGTCAGTGATTTTGCATTTGGCAAACCCAGAAAAATACTAGATTCCATCACATGAAATTGCTGACGTTGACTAATTTGACCACATAAATGGCAATTTCATATAGTCTGACCCACTGCGTTTTGCCAAAATGTACACACACACCCAAATTTGTAGCTGATACATTGATTTGTTATTTAAATATGTCGGTTTGGGAAGGAAATGTTTCCTGTCCCTCCCCCCCCCACCCCGATGTTACCTCAGTGGTTATGTCTAGGAATTGCCTGTGGGAGGTGGTGGTTAAACCTTCCCCGCCTGCCCCACCTGACACGCTCCTGAGCAGCACTGTAATCTAATAAATACAAATCAAACATGTTTTTATTTCTTACAGTAAAAGGGGAAGAAAAGTATCTTGCTATATTTATTGACCTAGATCAAAACGTGCAAAACATCTTGACAAGTCCTCTGGGTCCTACAAGGAAATGATTAGTTTGCTGGTGCTTCTGGTTCCTTCAAGCCACCGGCTTTCTTGATGACACACCCTAGCTCTTGTCAGCACCTGGAGTGGCTTCAACTCTGAAATCTTAAATACAATCATCCTCTTTGACCACAGCCTTTGATCATTACGATGAAGTCCGTGGTCTCTTTCTCTCTGAAGTCAATTATCTCTCTCTCTCTCTCAGGGTCCAATAGCTAACTCATTTTGCAAAAAGGTCCCGCGCACACAGACCAATGGTGCCCATAGGGGCAAATGGCAGACCTCCGACTATACAGTGCAGAATGGCGGGACCCCGGGTGAGAACCAGAGCAGGGGGCCCATCCCTGCCACTCTTTGTCTCCCTGTGCCCAACAAGGCTGTTTGTCATGCCCATTACTTCTCCCTAACAAGTGGGTCCGCCCTGGGGAAGCCACTGTGCCGAGGCCAGGGTCCCTAATGGTGGATGAGAACCAGGCTGGATCCAGTTGGTGGGTTTGCTCACCCTGGCAGTTACCAGGCAACAGTCCCATCTTGAATTCTGAACAAAGCCCAGCCCCCACTTCCGGGTGGTTGATCCTGTGGCCAAACAGGGTACATTAATTTCCCGGGGCTGCCACAACAAATTACCGCAAATTGAACGGCTTAAAACACTCAATTATCTCTTGAATCTCTTTTCTTTGTGATCTTCAGTGCCTCACTCACTACTTACTGCCCTCCCCACCCCCACCATTTTTGCTATTGTAAATAATATTTTTAAGTTACATATCCTGATTATTTGCTGCCAGTATATGCAAATGTAATTAATTTTTTTTAGTTATTTTGTATTCAGCAACTTTGCTAAACCTTAATGCCAATAATTTATATGTGGATTTCTCTGGGGTGATATCTCTGCGCCCAGCCTGGACCTCAAACCCACAAGCCCAAGATCAAGAGTCACATGACCTACCAAGGTGAGCCAATCAGGCGACCCAATACTTCAATCCTTTGTTTCACACAGTAGGAAATGTTTTGATTTTGTTAAATGTTTGCCAGTTTCTTTGCTTAGCATGACTTTCTGTCTCATTTTTGTTCTGGGGTTTTCCTTATTCTGTCTGAAGCTCTTTTGCAAGGTATTGATTTATTTCCCTTAATAAGGACTTGATTGTGAAATTTCTCATTGTTTTTGGTTTGTCCAAAAATGTCTTTATTTTGGCTTTGGTCTAAATATAATTTACACAGGCTATATAACTCTAGGGCTGGCAGACTTCCTTTCTTTCTTTCTTTCTTTCTTTCTTTCTTTCTTTCTTTCTTTCTTTCTTAGCACTAGTGTACACTAGTCTGCTCTTTTCTGGATTCCGTTGTATCCTGTCTGTGTAACAACTGTTCATTTTATTTTAATTTTTTAAAGATTTTATTTATTTATTTGACAGAGAGAGACACAGCGAGAAAGGGATGCAAGCAGGGGGAGGGTCAAAAGGAGAAGCAGGCTTCCTGCTGAGCAAGGAGCCTGATGTGGGACTCGATCCCAGGACCCTGGGACCATGACCTGAGCTGAAGGTAGACGCTTAACAACTGAGCCACCCAGGCGCCCCGGCAACTGTTCGTTTTAACGTACACATTCTTCTCTCTCTCTGGCTTCTTCTATGATCTTGTCCTTTGCCTTGTTATTCTGTGACTTCACTGTAATGGTGTAGGTGCAGATTTCTTTTTTTATTTATCCGACTTAGGATTCATTTTAATTCCTGAATCTGAATCTTGCCCATCAGATCTGGACATTTGCAGCCATTTTGCCTCCAAATTTTGCGTCTCTCTCGTTCTCTTATACTTTTCTGGAACTCTGATTAAGTACATAGTAGATCTTCTATGACCCTCTATCCCCTGTTATTTCTTCCCCCCTCCAGCTCGTTGTCCTTCTGTGTTGCATCTGGGTAATGACTTTAACTCTATCTTCAATCTGCTTTTCAGAGGTATTTAATTTTCTATTTAATTGATTGTAGTTTTAAAATTATGATTGTGTTCACATGATTTCCACAAGTTCTATTTGGTGCTTTTCCAAACTGCTTGGTTGTTTTTATGAGTCTTTTTTATCTTCCTAATCATAATTTTCATGCCCTTCTTTACTTCTTTAAATATAAAATGGACCATTTGTAAGCCAGAAAACATTTCTTTAAATGTGTGCATTTTCAAAACATGTGAACGTCCGAAGTCTTTCTAGGTCCGTCTGTCATTTCTACTGACTTCTGCTCAGGAGTCCTTGTTTTGTCACGTACTCCATGATTTTTCAATGTGGCATCATGTTCAGTGGAATGTTATCTACAGACGTTCTTTGCAACCTGGATGAAGTAACATTCCTCCAGAGAGGAATTTGCTTCTGTCAGGAACATGGGGTCACTCGCAATCTGTGACTTTTTATTTTTTATTTTATTTTTTTAAAGATTTTATTTATTTATTTATTTATTAGAGAGAGTGAGAGAGCACAAGCAGGGGGAGTGGCAGGCAGAGGGAGAAGCAGGCTCCCTGCTGAGCAAGGAGCCCGATGTGGGGCTCGATCCCAGGACCCTGAGATCATGACCTGAGCTGAAGGCAGATTTTTAACCGACTTGAACCACCCCTGGACCTCCATTTTTAGGCAGAGATCTCCTATCAATTTTACCTGCTTAGTTAGGTCCTGGGTTTTACCTGTGGTTCCTCACACCTCTTATGACTATTCCAATGAAAACTAAAGAGTAGAAGATGCTCAAAGGGCAACCAGCAGCCAATATCAATGTCATTTCCTAAGTGATTAGTTTCCTTCCGATACTTCCAGGATTATCCCCTCTTCTGTTTACTCCTACGTCAAATGAAGCCACATTGCTTGTTCTTGCTCATCTTCTTGACCTTTTATCTTTGAAATTCCCTAAGGCTCAGATCTTAAAATTCTTTTCTATCTACACTCACTTTCTTGATCACCTCACCTCGCCTTGTGGGTCTAAATCCATTAATATACCCATCCGCCTCCATTTATATCCCCAGCCTGGGTCCATGCGCAACTGCCTCCTTGACTTTTCCCCTCAGATGCCTAACAGTGTCTGATATTTGCCCTCAGATAGATTTCTTCTTCAGTTTTCCTCCTTTTAGCTTATAGTAACAGCAGACTTTTAGTTCTTCTAATTCAGAGTCATCTTTGGCTCTTTTTTTTTTTATCCCGCCCTACATTTTATCCATAAATAGATCATATTAGTTTTATCTTTAAAATATATCTAGAATCTGATCATTTATTATTACCTCCATGAGTATCAGTCTCATCCATACTACCAGAATCTCTCACCTGAATTATTTCAGCCCTCCTAGTGCTCTGTCCGTTGCTGTCATGGCCTCCCTTCGATCCGTTCTCAACCCAGCAATCAGGGTGGTCCTGTTAAGATGTAATTCAGATCATGTCACCCCTCTGCGTATGGTCCTCCAGAGGAAAAGCCAAAGTCTTCACAGTGGTCTGAGGGCCTTGCAATCTGGTTCCCATTACTTCTGTGACCTCATTTCCTACTGCTCTCTCGCCAACATTCTCTCTGCCTCGGCCACACTGGTGTCCTTGCCTTTCCGTGAACACACCAAGCGAGCTTCCTCTTCAAGGCATTTACCCTTCATGTTTACTCCACCAGGAATGCTTGTCACCAGATCACTTCCTCATCTCCTTCAGGGACCCCCTCAAATGTCACCACTCAGTGAGATACTTTCATTTAAGATGGTTGCTTCTCCCTCCAGCATCTCCCTACCCTACAGTGCTTGGCACTTACCAGGCATTCAATGAATCGCCGTTGAGTGGATGGATGGATAAATGAAATAATTAGCCCATGGATAAAAATAGAAATATTGAGAATTGTAGAACCTGAAGTGATAACTAAAAGGGCTCAAATGTTACTTTCTTTTCATGGAATAAGGAGAGGAATGGGAAGGAGGAAAATCATGGGGGATTTTGGATACACCTTAGAAACATAGCTCCTTATTCACAAACGTTTATCAAGTGCTCACTGTTCTCAAGTCCTCAAGATCACTGTGGTGGTGTTCATTTGTTATGAGATTCTGAGCTATGGATTGGGATCTCTTACTTTTTTCCTTCGCCGACTGCACCATGATTTTAGTTGCTTCTCATTTTTTCTACTTTCTGGGTTTTTTATTTTTTATTTTTTTCATTTTTGGTGCTTAGACCAGAATAATTTCATATTAACAAAGACCTGATCATTACAAAAAAAAAAGAATAATAAGATAAAAATTACCTTGAGATGTCTATATACTTACTTAAATTTTATCAAGCTTATTTCTTGCGCAACCAAGAGAGTAATCTACCAAGGAGAATCCATCCAGGCTCATCAGGATATTAAGATTTTTAAAATATTTTCTATTATGTGACCATTATGATTTTCCTGTTAATATAGTGTAGCAAGTATATAATTCTCACTATCCACAAACTTAGGTGTGCAAAAAATATAACTTAAAAAAAAACTCCACTTAATTTCTAAATTGAGTCTTTATTCCACCTAATGATAGGCACTCAAATTTAGTCAACCAGGGGTAAATTCTCCCTGGGGCTGTATCTGAACATGTAGGGGAGGGCTGGGTATTGTCAGTGAATTAGAGGGGAGGGGCTTCTTGTCCTCCGTGTTCATTGTCTATTCACTGAAGCATTGCTTCAGCTGTATATAGTCACACCATTGTGTCTCGTTGTTGGTCCACACACTGGCAAGTTAAACTCAAATTGATTTAGAAGCTCGCCTTCTGGCTCCCTGGTTTTCGCAGTCCTTTGCTCCCTTGGGAAGTAAGAGGGCAAGGGAACATCTTTAGAAGCTTTCTGGGGCTGAGACACAGGGGCCTGCCATTTCCTCTCTCTGGCTGCCACACTGTGCTGGCAAAGGTGACTTCTGCCTGAGGTTTCTCAACTTCCCAGGCTTCTTTGAGGAATCCCAGCCTCCCCTGCTCTCATATACCTATCTGGAATTTCTATCAGTTCCCCTCCTCCCGCCTTTGGCTTCAGGGTGGCCATAAAGCAAGGTATAGAGAACTTTCTTGAAGATCTGCATCACCATCTGACTTTATGGTTCTCCTTTCCTAATTTCCTACCTTAGTCAGCAGAGCTGTAATTCAGTTTTCAGCTGTACTTTTCCCAATCTGTTGTTTATGTCATAAACTTTATGTGCTTCAATCGGCTTCGTCTATTGAAACTCAAAAACCCAGCTCTTAAAATAAAAACGTTTGGTGTGCATGACTATTTCTTATGTTGTGGGTCTTGTAGGTCAATTCTGAAACTCAGACCTGAGTGTGATTGGGTTCTTTCTCTGTGCATTTGGTATAATCCTACCATTCCAGGAACCGGTCCTTGCTTCTGATGTAAAGAGTGTTTGGGAGTGTGGGTAGCAAAGCACAAAGGGCAATGGGGGGAAAGGAAGACAGGGCACCAAACTCCTCTGTGAGTCATAGTGGCTGAGAAATATTGATCTGGAAGACTCCAGACAATTTATTTAAAAAAATTCTCATAAAGATATTTTGGATCCTGATCCTGCTGTGCAAGAGGCGATTTCTTTTTTTGGTGGCTGTCTCTCTTTGCATGGTCTCAAAATAAATGTTTGTTTATTTGTAATTATTATTCTTTTTTTTTTTTTTTTACTTTTTCAGCTTATGAAATAACCAAAAAGTTTGTCCTTATTCATCTGTGATTCTTTATACCAAAGGGTGTGTCAAGATGGTCTCAATCTTAGCAAAGAAAAATCTGGAAATATCATAAGGATATGAACATCATAATCAGCAATTATCTGTGTATTTAAAAAATAAACAAATTTTTTCCCTAAATTTTAATGTATCTCCTGAAAACAGAAAAATAATAATGCGGAGGTACACACATATGTATCCATTTCTATTGCTTTTGCAGCTGATGATTTGATTTTTGCTTAATTGTCATAAACCTACTAACTACATAACTCCCTGGACCTGGAGAAAAGTAGAGGAAGGGCCCTTCTATACTGTGCTCTGTTTCCCTAGTGGCAGACTGGAAAGTCACTGTGAAATTAACCCATGAAAGCAGGCACAGATGGGGCCTTCTGGTTACATTAGGGCATCTATTGGCTGAGAACTTCGGTACTACCTGGGCACAACTGAGCTCTGGGCAAAGCTGTGGTTTCCCAGTAAGCCTGACACACACTCCGGAGGCTCAAAATCCCTCGGCACTGTGAGCTTCCTCTAGTTTCCTCCTTCCTCTGATGCCTGAGAGGAACAGACAGAGGCATTCATAGCCTGTAGGTTCCTGTGACGGAGAGACTGTATAGGGGCAACCGGGGGAGGGGAGAAGCAGAAGAGAAAGCCATTCATTTCATCTTTCCTGTATATCTTGCTCTGAAGATCTCAGCACTTGCCAGTTCAAACCCATTCCTTCCAGAAAGGGGTGAGTTAGAATCTTTTCCCAGCAATGTAGTTGGGAAACAAACCACCAGCATGGCAACGTTCTCGAAATTCAATGATTTAGGAGTAAAACAGTGCCATGTATCACTCAGTTTTAAATATTTCTTTAGACATTTCAATTTTTTGGGATTCTCCAATCATTGCCCTTTATTCACTCCCGAAGTCTACTCTTGTGTTCTGATAGCATGAATAAAATCAGACATACTTTCCCTATTGCCAAAAAAAAAAGGGGGGGCAAATGTTGCTTTGGTTCACATAATTTCAGAAACTGCAAATACCAGAGGAACAGTAACTAAATTAAAAAAAAACCTAAAAAGCCAAAAAACAGTAACCAAATACCAGATTCACAGTAACAGTGAAGGCAAATAAAACTTGCTTTAAATATAGTTATCCTTCCTCCCCTCTTCCTTTCCTTAATAATGAATATTTATTGGATGCAACAAAGTAAGATCTGACATTTCCAGGGTGGATAATGTACACAAGGCAAATCTCTAGTTTCAGTGTATAAATGTGTGGTCTAACTGCAACCATTATGAAGGACCCAACAGCTCAAGATAAGAGCTCATACTTCAGAACCAGTTAAAGCAAATGACAAAACAAAACAATGACAAAGCAAATACAAAAAGAAGCTGCTTTTAGCTTATCATTTGGAGGTTACATATTTGGTATCATAAGAAACCCCCCCCCAAAAGACACCTGAATGGAGCTTCCCCTCCATGCACAGAGACATGTTTATGATGCAACCAGAATCACTCTATCCCCAGATGTCTGGAGTTGGGTCTGGACATCTGTTTTTAATAGTTTCCAGGCATGCCAGTGGGAACATGATCACAAGTGGGTTGACTATGATTTTCACAAAGGAAAGGAAGAAAGAAAGGAAGAAAGAAAGAAAGAAACAAAGAAAGAAAGAAAGAAAGAAAGAAAGAAAGAAAGAAAGAAAGAAAGAAAGAAAGAAAGAAAGAAAGAAAGAAAGAAAAGAAAGAAAGAAAGAAAAAAGAAACAGACAGCTAATAGATATTCCACAGAGTTTGGGTAGTTCTTAATTTTCATTAGTAACTCTGAGAGTGTGATGATGAGCTCCATCTAATCTGGGCACCCAGTGCTTTATTAAAAGGGGTGTCCTGTTAAACCTCCCACTGTGTTCCCAAAGAATACTCATAAAAATGTTTTTGTTTCTTGACAAAGTAAGATTACTAAATGTTGGATAGATGTGTAGAAAGGGATGTAATCAGTATGATGTCATTTAACTAAATGCTTGTCAGCTGACCCTCTTAACGTCATGATCAGCATCCTAAAAGCAGCCCCTTCTTCACACGATGGATAGGTGAGCAGATTCATAAGAATACACAGGAGTGAAGAGCGGCATTGAGTGGGGTTCGGGTGACAGTCCAGGCCTTCTTGTGCTGAACTCTGTTATAGGCTTGGCTGGGGCAGGTGGTCTTGGCAGGGGCTGGAAACCTTCCAGGACACCCCACAGGCTCTGCTCTTGGTCATTTTCAGAGTGGGCCAGAAGATATCAGGGCCAGCAAAAAGAGGTGGCTAATGCTAAACTTGTGGGTTTTTTTCCCCTTTCTTTTTCTGGGGTCAAACTTACATCCAGGCTAAAATTGGATGCAGGAAGAAAGGGAAGCAAATCCATCAGACAGAAGAGAGTTAGGAATTATGTTTGAAATGTCGTTGTGCATTATGCATTCACCTGAATTCTTCTTATAATTTTTCTCATCTGTGTCTATAGTAAAGATTTTCTAAGTTATCATTTTACCAACCATCCTCAAAAGGAAAATAGAAACAGAAAAAAATCAGTGTCTTGAGTTTTGTCCCCATTGATTCTCTGAAACTGTATTGAATAGAATGTATCATTTAATTTTCAATAAATAACTCACATGGTACAAAATTCAAAAGTATAAAAATGTGTCTGTGGACAAATATTCTTCTTACCCCATTTTTCTGGCTAACCACTTCTTTCCTGAGGTGACTAGTTGTTTGTGAATCCTTTCACAGATATTCGGTGCATGTAAGTTTCATTTTAGACTAGACTTTTCTTTTTCCTGGCAGAACAGAGCGA